TGTCAATACAATATTTACCCTCTTGAAAAAGTTGTGCGAAAACTATAACCTTGTATGATAACTAGGCAAACATATATGAGATTAACGTTTACCATTTAGAAAGCAACACTTTAGCTACTAGCAAAATTATACATTTGTATGTTAAACAAAATATGACGGTTATTCTATCCCGCCCTCATGATTATCACCTCAATAATAAGCAATGGTAGACAGTCGTTTTATTGTAGCTGTGTTTATTACTGCTTGCATGTGACCAGGAACTCGCATCTAATCGTTTCTTCCCGCGGTATTCTAGATACACTCATGATTGAGATCCTATCTTCACGTGTGAGTCCACTAACTTGGACACGTGCAGGTCTTCCAATTAATTACATAAAAAAAGAAACTGCAGCAAAGAATCACGCAAGAACTTTCCACAAACGGGATGAGTAGCTGAGCATTTCTTTTATGCAGGCTCAACTTATGAGCCTACTTCAAAACTCGTTTATACGACTCACAATATAGTAAAGAAGATGCCATGGTCGGTGCATAAAAAGAGCATAGTTTGCGTGCATGGAACGTTTTAGTGAAATGCTTCACTACCTCGCAGCTCTTCGCATGCGCGTAAATTACCGACGTTTGTTAACTGGAATTGTCAAAACTTTCTATGACTACCACAAACCCCAGACGCGATAATAAGCCGTGCGTAAATAATCAAATTATTTCAATTAAATTTATTACCCACATTCATCAAAGCTTTTTTATAAGTATAATACAGTGCCAATAAGCAAGCATCGTAGAATATATAAAGGACCAAAGCAGGGACCAGGTTCATGTTAGTTTTTAGTAAAAATGCGACTGTTGGCAGACGCTTGCGATTGTTGATCTCAGCGCGACTGTGTATAACAGATCGTCTAGTGCGTAAAATACCCAAACACGCGCTAGCTAAACTAGCGTTGCTTCACATGGGCCTCATTCAAATACGAAAAGAATATATTTTCCTATAGGGCAAATCATCCCACAATATATCAGGTTTCAAAAATTGTTGTCCTCCGGGAGGGTGAAGCAGGAAAGTACATTGCCACAGTAAAGGATAAGCGTGTTTTCCTCTGTATATATGGTATCTGAACTGTTATCAGCTGCCCCTGTTTTCCTTTCATAACATTTCGTCTAACGTCACAACCACGCTGTTATCGCTTAGTCAAAAATGAAATTGATGCCTGACATATATCGCATATGATCCAGTTAGTTGCGGTGTATGAATTTGTGACGAAAATCAAGCCCCATATGTTTAAAGGTTCGTGGCCCATAATTAACTATCATTATGTGTAATATAAAAGCGTGTGTGTCGACAAAGAGACGCCATGAACAAAGCTCTCACCAAGACCTGCGAGACGTAGCTGTGCTACGCAAAAAGGTCGACCATCGGCAACGCAAAACCAGTATTGCCATTGCGATGGCATGCAATAATGTCAAGTAGATAGTTCCAAATTACGCAGATATTACGAAATAAATTGAAAGTTGGAACAAATTGTTGGCAATTACTTCGTGGAAATAAGCAGATGTTTTAAGGAATGGAAAATTTGAAGCAATTATTTGTTATGTATAAATAAAAAAATGGGGATGAAAATAATGAACAAGGCAACTTTCAGCTATGATCGTCTGGAGAGAAAAAAGTATAAAATAAGCTTTACCGTTAAGCTAGATATTAAAATGATATTAAAATAAAGAAGATTAAAGAAAGCGTGCATGCGGTCGATGAGTTTGGTCAATGACCGCACTTTCCAAGGTTTGTTGTTGGCTTGGTGCTTGAAATTGTTGAAGAACATGCAAACGAATTTATTAAGAGAAAAATACATTCTTTGGCGAATGTTTCATAAATAGTTCAGCAATAATACATACTATTTAAGAAATTAATATGATAACTGTTCCGCGTTACTAGCAATTGAAAGGCAAAATTGTAGCAATATTGTGTTGTTGTTTGTTCCTAATTTTGCCCAACTATTATAACTTATTCATTTAAAATAAATGTTAATTTTATTATATTCGATTCTCATGTGAAAGTCAACCAAACATTTTAATACTGTCAAATCAAAAAGCAAGTAATACATTTAGAATATAATATTGTCCAATTATAACATTTTAATATCCAAGTGGCTTTATGACCGCAGTATGAGTGTGTAATGTCCATGTCGGTTAGTTCTGGCTGTGAAGCAGTCCACTAATTATTAATAACCGATTATAATTAATAGAACGCGTACAGCTACAATTCCTGCAAGAAATTCAGTGCAAACGGTGTTAAATCTCTACGGATTAAGGAAACATATATTCACTTACGTTCCTTATCATATAACGAACCCCTAAACATATAAATTGTAGGTAAAGTTGATAACTTCTCAAGTACCTACTGCAAGTTATCATAACAGTGATAGAAATGTATCTACATTTTTACACTCCGCGCAACACCCATGAACTAATCAATTATTTATTTGAGCTGCAATAAGGCAAAATAGTCACGATCAGAAGTTCCTAAATCTCAAAATTTCTACACACTGCAGCTTAAAAAAGGAAATGCACGTTTATGAATGACTTTTTAACAAAGGAAATGCACATTTATGAATAACTTTTGCACTCAGCAGAATGGAAAACGATGGAGTAGCGGAAGTGGTGCAAAGAAGTAGGGGCTAATAACGACCTTCCCCGCGGACCACGCCCTTACCCCAGCGGGGGGAGAGGGAGGGGGGAATAAGGATGGNCAAGATACCGCGTGTCTTTGTTACAGCGCGTCAAGATACCGTGTGTGTTTGTCACAGCGCGTCAAGATACCGCGTGTCTTTGTTACAGCGCGTCAAGATACCGTATGTCTTTGTCACAGCGCGTCAAGATACCGTATGTGTTTGTCACAGCGCGTCAAGATACCGCGTGTCTTTGTTACAGCGCGTCAAGATACCGTATGTGTTTGTCACAGCGCGTCAAGATACCGCGTGTCTTTGTTACAGCGCGTCAAGATACCGTATGTGTTTGTCACAGCGCGTCAAGATACCGCGTGTCTTTGTTACAGCGCGTCAAGATACTGTTCCGTAACTTGAATTATTCGATGGACAACAATCATTTCAATGTCGTATTACATAGCTCAGGAAAAAACAATTACTTTCAATTACTATTTTGGGCGTAGCTCATTATACATTCTGTGACGTAGAGGAAATCTCTATGTCTTGTTGTTTACACCTATTGTGTCGCGGCGGCACCTCACGACTGCCACTGAGTGGCACCTGCCACCTGACACGAGCCATCCGCCGCAGCGGCGGCCCCTCGCAACCGCCACTGAGTGGCACCTGCCACCTGACACGAACTATCCGGCGCAGCGGCGGCACCTCACGACTGCCACTGAGTGGCACCTGCCACCTGACACGAACTATCCGGCGTAGCGGCGGCAACTCACGACCGCTGCTAATTGACATATCTATGGTTTAACATAATTGGCATATCTTTAATTATGTTTTAATTATCTTTATATCTATATATCTTTAAATAATTCTATTTAATTTAATCTCTTTAATTGACATATCTATGCTAATTGAGATAGCTTGACATTTCTATGCTCTAAGTTAGACCAAATGATTACGTATGTTTGTAAATCGAAAACAGCAAATTTTTTGTTCTTATTTGAGTTTAAAAATCCAGAAAGCGAGTGATGAGACTCCGATTAGTCTAATTTTGCAATCTTTAATAACAGTCGTGACGTCGTCGCAAATATTTTGCTTTGAAACGATCAGGAAAACCTTGAAATTCACGTTTATGATCAGAGCTGGCTGATAAATACTTTTAACATGAAGATAAAAATAAATCAGAGTTGCTAACACTAAAAAAATCTGTTAAAAAAATTTCGCTCATTTTTTAGGCGTGCATATTTTCTATTTCATATGCATAAAAATATATACTTCCATCACTAATTTGGGTCGAAGAATTGTGAGTTCTTCAGCGCGATACACAAAATATTACAGGAAAGAAGGATCGACATGAAAGTTGTCAGTCGTGAAAAGTTCTTACAGTTGTAATGTGACATCGACTGTCCAAACTTGTAACAATAAATTATAATAAACAGATAGGCGATTGCGAACATCAAAGGCATCAAAGCAAATGACTACATGAGAAACGTAAAAACTTTTGTATAATGATGCGAACACTTCGCACCATTAGATACTGCATGACAAAATGCGCAAGTCGGAGAATGCACAACTTTGTATGAAGTAAAATGCGCGGTTCGAGTTAGCATGTTCCGTAATTAACAACTTTTGCTATACTACTATGAGAATATCGATGTACCGTCCATCAAGCGTATAACGCTTACATGCAATAATTTCGAGGACAGGTAAATCCAGGAACAGCAGGCATCCATTGCATGGCATCACATGCAAGAGTTTGGAAAATATTGAAAAATATATATCTTATTTATCAATATATTGAGTAGTTGTAATCCAATACGTAATAACAGAACATTAAATCAAGCAACATTTTACGCAGCCCAACAAATTTCACCTCAAAACTAATGCAAAGATACCGCCATTATTTTGTAACCATTATACGGCAATAACTGCACAATTATTCTGGTGCGATTCGATTAAAAAATAATAATAATAATCATCAAGGAAGTTTAGGAAATCTGGCCGAAGTATATGAAATGATACGCATTACGGTAAAAATGATACGCATTACGGTAAAGATGATTCGCATTACGGTGTGGATGATAAGCATTACGGTAAAGATGATACGCATTACATTTATGTTGACGTGCCCATTACAATAGTAAAAATGATACGCATTACGGTAACGATGACAAGCATTACATTAATGCTGACGTGCCCATTACAACGGTAAAGATGACACGCATTACATTAATGCTGACATGATTACAACGGTAAAGATGACACGCATTACATTAATGCTGACGTGCCCATAACAACGGTAAAGATGATACGTATTACATTAATGCTGACATGATTACAACGATGCATACTTACATATTGCGAGCAGTATAGGTAAGATGACTCGGAAGATGACCACGGCAACCACGAGATGTGCTGCCATTTTGCACAAAGTTCACAGCAATCTTCATCGACAAATTTAAATGAGTTTTATCCCGTCGTCAAATTACCAAATTGGTGTTTTTTGTCAAGCAGTTTAGAATTTTTTCACGGTGCACCGAATTTGAATGCAGCTAAATCCTGTGTTATAGGCTGAGAGTAATTGTAGACTAATTCGTACAATGCAAATAAAAAATTTAAAGCTGTAATGTAATTCAAAATAATTATCCGATAATTAAATATCATTGCAAATTTATTTTTTGACATAAATGCAATTATTATAAAAATGTATGAGGAACAATAACGGTTAAAAGTTAATTAATAATTAATTCAATAAATTTTACGTAACAAAATGTACGGCCTGTCAAGTTAGGCTACTTCCTAGATGTTTATTCGGAGACAGTTCATACGTTAGCTAATTTTGGACTTGAGGCAATTAATTATCATTAGATCATGCCAATTCGAGGTGATATAACTTCAAGTATCGATAAGCAGAACACATGTGATTTCGATATGCAACAAAATCATAGTTAGGTCGACTAATCATTGTTTAGCAAGTAGTCAAACCAATGAAACGTAAGTCGCCAATGTTGTGCTAGTGTTCTCAACTCGCCTGAACTTTTATCAAAATTAAGTAATACCATCCGAATTACATTCTTTTTTGTTTAATTGTTAAAATGATTTTCCTCAAAAAGTATTTTCCAATTTTAGTAACGTTCATCGTCCCTATGATCCTATCGGAGGATGGTGACACAAGTGATTAGCCAACAGTAGTGTTTTGGTGAAAATTATGCAAATGGGAAAGGAAGGGATTGCTCCCTTGTGATAATTTTTTTCCACGTCAATTAAACCAAGAGTTTTGGAAAACAGCTCCTAATGTGAGGCACAACATTTGAAACAATGACTATTACTTATTAATACAATTAATAGGTAGTTTAGATATTTTTACATTAGTTTTGCTAGGTCAAAAATTCATATTCAGCTAAAAATGCAATCATTGCAATGCATGCGCTCAAAAATGTCAAGATACCGTTCTTCAAGTTTCAACACTAATGAGTTGCAAAGGAAAAGTATTTATAGGTAATTTTTCAACAAAACCATAAAAATTATTGGTCAGATTCTCCTGATTGAGTCACATGGAGTCACGCATCACAGCAGATTAGCGATGTTTAGATGCTGAACCTCCACACTCCGCGGCACTACAGCACACACTGACCCTAGTCGCAACTCGCAACTTGCAACTTGCAAGTCGCAACTCGCAATGCCGGACACTCTGAGTCTCAGACTGAGCCTGACAGCTCACGACGTCCCACTAGCTCCACGGCGCATCGCCAGGCGTAACCTTCTTTTAACGTAAGGATTAATACGAGCACCGACGATGAGAATTCTGAATGGAGTCTTCTACATGAAATTCAAAAAGGAATGTTTAAGGGAAACGTTGGAAGTTGTTATAAATACTCATACCGCGAGTCCGAACTGTGCAGTAATTGTAGTATTTTGACTTCATCTACTCCGACCTGACTTCATCTACGCTGCTGACTGTATATTTACTTAGCAGTGTCAATAGGATCCCACAAATATTGACGTCCGCTGTCAATTTGCTACTATACTTTAGATAAATACTATAAAAGCCTAAGTAAGCCACAACTAAGCTATTCCTCGCTAGCAGATCGGACCGGTCCGACACTTCAGCGAACNCCGCCGACTATTAATATTGCAAAACCGATTCATTTCGATCTTCAATTCCAGTAAAATAGGTCGAGAATTCGCATTGACGATCAATTTCAGCCTACAAGCTGCTGGTTCAGGAGTGTAATACAAATTATAAATGCCAACTAAGGGAATATATAAATATAGTATCAATCCGTAAGTTGTCATGTTCATCAACATCTGAGTCGAATTTACTTTCAAGCGTTTCACTCGACAGAGATCCGGGTGACAGATCCCGATGCAATAATAGACCATGACTCACAATCAGTAGTTATTGCGTTTCCATATTCTACTCGAACTACCAGCCAGACTCGCCGAGCTATTTGAAGTGTGCATTATTTTCCACCACATCACAACGAAGCGGAATTTCAAAATTCTCTCTGTTCAAATTGAATCAAAACCATACCTTGAGCCGGAATACACCAGGATGCCAGTTGATCAGGCCGATGCTCTTTATTACGGAGACTAGAGTGAGCTTCACCTATCGGTAAATGTATTATTAAGCATGACATGGTGGTACTCAAGCTCTCAGGCTGACTCCATGCCTGTTTTGGCTGTTGCGTTACCGCTGGCAAGACGCCTTCAACGCGACCCCCTCAGACAACGCTTCCATATCCCGCGTTCAATTTATACCTATAGTTTGCTTTTTCAAGATTTCAATTACCAACCCAGTTCAGATTTCGCCATTTTTATCCCGAAAGTATTAATATCTAGAAGTTCTCAACTTTTCGCATCAACGCACAGAAGATTAAACACATAATTCATTCCTTCACAAATAAACTTTTCCTCCGGCCTTTTTCTAGACTTGGGGTAACTGCACAGAATTTTACTAAAAACTGTGTAAAAATATTCGTAGTTGGAATCAATACAAGATGATTAAACACTAAATAATTTTTTTAAAAATCATTTATTCCTTCCTCAAAACAGTAAAAGTTGACAAAAATAAGAAAGCAGCAACAAGACATAAACGAGCGCAACCATTTGATAAAGACTAACACTACAAACTTCTCAACGTGACAAAACCAGAGATCTACTTAGGAATGTAGGTGTGACAATTTCGTAGATATATTATGAGAGAAGCTTCAAAATGTCCTTTATGACACGTTATAAAAAAAACTGGGATCGATGTTAACAATTTTTGAATGGATTCAAATTTTTCACCTAATGATTGAAGACTTCAAAACAATTCAACATTACCAGAAACCCTCACGAATAAAACCCTGCAACATGTAAAAATTTTTTACCTAATTCTATCTCGTAAATGGATTTCACTATAAAATTAACTAACGAGCCGGCGTTATAAATACTACTGTTTGAACTTGACGTGCATCTTATGAGCTTCAAAAAACTTTAAGACCAAATTACAAAATTTAGGACTTAAAACTAGCGGCAAATAGGACGAACAAATACGTCACCTTTGAACATATATGAATAAGTCGATAATTTGTTCAAACTACTCACAAAACATCATTTTCCTTACTCCTATAAGTTTATTGCATACATTGAAACCACTGCAAAGTTTTACTTGAAAGACTGAGAATACGATGAAATCAATGCATTATAAGATATAAGTAAACAAAATGCTTCCTGTTCAAATTATCGCAAGCGATCTCGCTAAATGTTCTCGGTGACCTGCATCATACCCAGGATACAGCAAGGGGTTAAGAGAGAACAGGTCACCAGCGTGGCACACAAAAAGCACGAGCGTCTGGGAGAATAACACTAAATGTTCTTAATAATTTGCGCTATTCCGTCTTCCAGCAAGACTACAGGTAAGACTTTTCATTTCAGAATACTTGATATAAAAAGTATAAGATGAAGTTACGCAGTCACCACACAGATCATATCAAGCAAAGAAAGCCCAAGGTCGGAGGATGGTACAAAATTCACAGGGTATAAAGTATTACAAACCATCTGCATTGAAAATACTATTATCAAGGGTACTGAAAATCAGATAGTTCGCCGAAAGGTCCAAATGTGAATAATTGCGCGAACTTCATTCATTTGCGTTATTAAAAAAATCTATCATGGCCACGGCTCCAGAGAGAAATGGATACGCATTTTTGAAGTGTGATCATTTATACAGCATTAGTGCATTCAACTTTTCAAAAAAATTTGTTTGGTGGCGCATATCAATTAAAATGTTAGAATCCTTGCCTTTCAAAACATTCTTCAATAACATCGTCTCTCTACAGATTATTCTCTTCAAGCAGTTGAATAACAGCATCTATTCTCGCAGCCCATGACGGCGAAATGTACTAGCCTAAAAAACAGGATTAATAGGGCAAGTATAACCATGAATGCTTAACATCAGGTACAATGTTTTCGTGAATACACAATATGCTAAGGCACTAGGTAAGGTATCAGGTAATGGCTTTTGTACAGCATTATGCACGCCGAGACAGACGTCGGGGCAGCACCGACCAGGCAGGCGAAGCCAGGGCAAACTTCTTATTCTCTGCATCAGTGAGTGGAGGGAACAGCATCAGTAAGTGGAGAGAACAGCATCAGTGAGTGGAGGGAACAGCATCAGTGAGTGGAGGGAACAGCACCAATGAGTGGAGGGAACAGCACCAGTGAGTGGAGGGAACAGCATCAGTGAGTGGAGGGAACAGCATCAGTAAGTGGAGAGAACAGCATCAGTGAGTGGAGGGAACAGCATCAGTGAGTAGAGGGAACAGCATCAGTGAGTGGTGGGAACAGCATCAGTAAGTGGAGGGAACAGCATCAGTGAGTGGAGGGAACAGCATAAGAATGTGATAAAGTAGGATAAATTGTAGGAACAGAAAAAGTATTTCCATTAACTGGTATCAGCATAGAACTGGAAGAAAATCCTTCAAACCAGAATTGCATAAGCGGGTGATCAGGTAGACATATTTGAACTAGTTTGTGCAAACTTGAAAAAAGATGGAAAAAAATAATAACTGACATTTCTTTTGATTGGAATATTTAAAACTTTTAAATCCAGCCGAGCTTTGCATCAATTATTTTTATGATGTTGCATATCACAAAGTTTAAGCAAGTGTTGGCATCAGCAACATTTTGGACAAGCATTGCATTTTGATAATGAAGATTTGAAAGCATTTTCAAAATAAAGCTTCCAGCGATTAAGAGCAGCAATAAAATATTGTTCCCACAAATAACACTTTTTGAGTTTTTGTGCATGACCTTTATTTTCCCATACAAAAGAATTGAATAAAATCATACTAAATGTGTGAGAAAATCAACATTGCCACTTAATACTAAATTAGGGTAGTAGAGGTTTAAAATAAATGGACAGGAATGGAAGAGAGGCGGCATCATTCAGAAAGTAAAAATGTTTGGTAAAATACACTATCTTTACCTTAGAGAACATGCATTACGTTATAAGGGAGATCGAACATGATAGTTATAACCTCCTCAACTGTTTCTTTAAAGCCTTGGACTGTTTGGCTGTAGTCTTAAGAGACTTCACCGGGCTCGCATCGCAGGAGATAATGTGGTCAACTTTGTTCAAAGAAATTACAGAGCCAGCATTCATGAGGTTATTAGTAGACTGTGACCTGTCAACTAGCGTTTTAATAGCATGGTTGAGCATGTTACACTTGCGCAACAGAGGAAATCCACCGCTGTTGTTTGCCGAGTCTTTTTTGTTGTGACTTTCATTGATCTTTGTGACATCGCCACCAGAGACTCCATCGTTTCCCTGTGAAGACAAATTGCACTTTAATATATGGCTCAGCATCCTCAGGCTAAAACAATGTTTTTACAAAATTGAAGTTATAATTTTGTAATAACAAAAAAGTAGTACTTAGTATATAATACTATAGGTACATGATTTCATAGTGAAAAAACAAACAAATTTCACACAGTATGAATTAAAAGTGATATACCCTCAATAATTTGATAAATTTAATACACAGAGAACAGTAAATAAAAGTCAAAGTGATAATTCTGAAATACAACAAAACTATAAAAATTATTTCAAAATAGATGTACATAATTTTTTAAAATTTACCACATTTTTATCAGGAGCAAGTTTATTTGGTGAGCGTTTCTTGGGCGAGACAGCAGCCTGAATAGATGAAACAGCACACTGAATAGCACCCAATATTCTTCGTGGGGGGCTAGTGATGTGCTGCTCAACAACAGCGTTGTCAAGTTGCTCACCTACTGAGCAACTTGCACTCGGACAATTTGTCATTTTAATAGTCAAACTCTCCTCTATGACGTCATCTTTCCTCATTTCGGAATTGTTTCTACTCTGCTGGCATGGCTTTGTTTTGGCAGTAATATGATTGTTGCTTGTAAGTGCACGTTCTTGCCACACAGGCGCCAAATTATCTCGATCAGGATGAGGTTGCACAAGTGGATTAGGCTGCGAGTTTAGTGTGTCTGCGTTGTTGCTGTTATCCTGTAGCAAATTTGATCTTGCAGGTGGAACATAGAGTGACACAAGACTTCTGGCAGGATAATTAACAGCTCCTAAGGCTCGTCGAGACATGCCAGGGTCAGAGAGGAAATTTTTACCACGATGCACAAGATTCTCCTGAAAAATAATAGAAACCCTTTAATCTCTTATAGCATATATTTCATTTGTAAATCACACATAAGTTGGGTAACAAGTTGACAGCACAATTTGACAATAAAGTAATGATTTGAACACATTTTGTTGAAAACTACTAATCAACTATATATCATGAAAACATTTCCTCACCTTCCCAATAGATGAGACAGCAACAAATCGTTTATGTTTAAAATTCTTAACCATGGTTGATAAAATTTGAGACTCGTTAACAATTTTTCGGCATTGCTTGTTGACTTGACTGAATGAAAGGATGTCCTCAGGGGTCAGCTGTAGCAGAACTTGAGGCAGGATGAATGTGGCTTTGTTTAATAGTGATAGTAAAATATTGCTTGTTTGCATTCGGTCAGCTTCAACTCTAGCCAGATGGTGAATGAATTCAAATCCAGACAACCCAGCAGGACCAGATTCTTGGTCATATTGCCACGATGTTTTTGCAGGAGCTGTTATCTTTGAAGATGTTTGGGGTTCATTGAGAACTGGCTTCTGAAGTGATGCAGTGTTTTCACCTTTAAAATTTGTTCCACAATTTTGAGATAATTCAGGAAGGAGTACTTGTTTAGATGATACATTAAGTGCGCTTGGCTGACTTTTTGTTTCAGGTGGAGCAGATACAGCTACCAAGTGCTGTTTCTTTTCATCTGTTTCCTTGATTACAGTATCATCCAATGTAAGTCTTCTTTTTGCTTTTAAAGCCTCAGTCAATGCTTTTTGCACAACAGTGCCATCTGAGATCTTTGCTTCAGTTTCATGAGCAGCAAGTGTAAAAGCTCGAGGAATGTAAGATTTGTCAAAGGGTTTTAGAAAGGAACATAAATCAATCTGCTCCTCAAATTCATTGTTTGGAGACAATTCACTCGAGTCACATTTTTTCTGTTGTCCAACACAATCATCTTTGTATGATGCCACAGACTTTTTCAGAGGCAACACGTCAGGTGAGGATGTAGACAATTTTGCATGTTTAGCGGAACGTTCCACAGGAGAGTCAAACTTAAAAGAATCTTTGTAAGTGATATCAAGAGAATACTTTGATAATACATTGGGAACTTTGCAAGGTTTATCTAAACCGATAGGAACAGAACTGGAAGAAAGTTTCTTCAATCTTAGGGCATTTTCTGTAGCAGTAGATTTCTCCAAGTAATTTAAATTACAATTTATTTTCCCAGAAGTCTTACTATCAGATAAATGATACAAGAACTTTGTGAAAGGAGTTTCAACCTTCCTCATGTCATGGTATATTGGTACCTCATGGCACTGAATCTTGCCTTCTGACAGCTGTGTTGAAGAAACCAAGTCATCATGAGACCATGACCGTGGCATCTGCTGATGCATCAACAGGCTCTCACTTTCACAAGGAATTGCTTCTTTTAAACTCTCATTCTCATGTTCAAGAAGAGCATTCTCAGTGTCTGATGCTGGTTTTATTTCTAACAAACTTGAATTAGAAGCACTATCAAAACTAGTGCCACTTTCATAGCCAGAAGAACTGAGAGATGATTGCCTCTCCCGACTAGAGACAGCAATGTTAAGGGGGGTTGAGGTCCATGTTAAGATTCTTGGTCTGAGACTCATGGTGCTAGAAGGTCTATTGAAATCACTATTATGTGTGGCCAAAGGAGTCCATTGAACAGGATGATTGTTTCTAAGAGTGGATGACATAGGATTTCTTTTGGTGAAAACACCTTGGTGTTTGGGATAAAATTTTTGCCCAATTTGATTCATGGTCTTTTTGAGATCAGTGTTATTTTGATGGTTACAATGTTCAATTGTATTTTTAGAATTGTCTTGAATTGACAAGCATTCCTGAATGGAGCCAGCTGAAGAATCTATTGGTGTGAATAACAATTCACCAAGATTACTTTCATATCCCATGTCAACATTAATCTCAGGAATTTGTAGATGGTTGACATCAGCCAAGTTGTTCCCATAAGCATTTTTACCAGAGCACATTTTGACACAGTAGTCAGGATTTTCAGAGCTCAAGTCAGCCATTTTGTTGATCTTTGATGTGTGGTTTCCTGTTGTACCACATCAGTACAACACACCTGTGAAAGAAAAAGGATTTAAAATTTATCCGATATACTATCACTCGAGTCATCAACAGCTCATTATCATCAATTAAACATTTTGATAATAAAAAATAGCCATATCATATGCTTTCATTAAGATGGAAGACCTCCATCTTCACTACACAATGCACACTACTCAATACATTTTTCAAAAATCATAGATTATATATTTCATCAGTATTTCATTCAATTTTCAATAGAGGCATTCAAGTTAAGTGAATGAGAAAACTAGTGGCAACTTGTGCATCATTCATGGCCACTATAATATATTTGAACAGGTATATATATTGTCACAATATGCAATATGTATATACATGGCATATATACTGGGTCAAAAAATATGAAACTGGATCTTTGTTTATATTGAAAAATCAAACTTTCACTGAAATATTGAAGATATAAAGTCAAATGTTGGTAAATTGAAAATCTTGCAGCCAAGCAGGCAGTTTATTCACAATTAAATAGGAGCTAATTTAAATAGCAGGAATCTTACAGCTCCAAAATGGCAAGAAAGCTTTAACATCAATGCCACTCAAGTTATCTTAGCACTTAAGATAGATTAAGAGATTAAGATTTAAGACAGATATTGATAGAAGTGTTCTATATATTTATTAAACAATACATCAACATCATTCATGTAACATTAAAACAGTTTTATAGTCAAGACCATGTAATTTTTACTTATTGCAGAGATTTAATGGCCTAAGAGGGTCGTATTTTCAATAACTTGGGAATTTTTTGGCTCATTCAGGCATTTTTGTTAAGAAATAGAGAGGAGATAATTCATCTAGCAGGAAATTTGCAGCTCCACAAATGGTAGAATAGTTCTAGTCGCAGCTTGGGAAATAGAAATAATATGCAACCATTCATAATTATTATGGTGTAGTTGAAGACTGCAATTTGTATTTCTGTCCATTATTGTAGTTTTTAGAGACAAGAGGCAAGTGAGGTGCAGTATCTGATACATGGCAATGCAAGTGTCATTGATGGTAGCAAGCGTGAAAAAAATCCTATTTTTACTGAACTTTCACTGCTCTAAAATCATTTAATTCAGGTGGGTACAAAATCTTGTAGCTCAGGATCTATCATACCATGAAATTTCAAACTTCAGACATTTAGTGACATGCTTCAGCCAGAATATCAGGGAGGGCAGCCAAAACTTTTTTTATTGCTGATCTGATAGCCCATAGATGTTATGTAATGGTTGACTCTACAATAAAGAAAAATTGTTTGGTCATTAAGGTGTTGTGTCTGGGAGACTACAGCAGTAGCCAGTAAAAATGAGCATCTTAGGAACAAAGGGAAAGTTGTCATCCATATATTCCAAATTGAATGACAATGATGAATGAATGGATTTGATAGGTTTTTTATAAACCCCCATTTATATATAAGAATGGAATGTAGCTTCTATCTCAGAATCTATTCAATTATTCAAGAATCTGTCCTTCAATACACTTGTTTAAAACTACCATAATAGGGTTAATGCCATACTACTGTAAGTCCGTAACCAAACTGTAATAGTGCACTAAGTGCAGTACTTACACACTGTAATATTATGGTTAGGGTAAACGCGGTATATTCCGACATCGTGGGTCATTCCGTCACCTCTCTAGTTTTTCCTTTATATTAAGCTTTGTTTTAGTTCTATGCATTCGTTGATGGTTGAAATGGTGACGTCATACATTTGCGTGTCGAACTACTGCCAAAACACTAGGTCTTGGCCATTTAGCAGGAAAATATTGAGATCCAAAGAGAGACAATGCATGCTACCCAGTGAGATCATTAAAAAATGTGTCAAATTTGACAGTTGACCTTGCTCTACCAAATAGTGAATAACTGTTTGTATAGGAAGAATATTATGGTTTGAGACTTTTAAATACGTCTGTGAATAAAGCTATGTACAAAAATTTAAATTTGCTTAATTAAAAGCTTAATAGTTGTTAATTAAAAGCGTAATTAAGTAGTGTTCAATATTCATTAGTGTTCTAATTCAAAGCCGTGTTGTATTCCAATACAGCTCACACAGCAAACGGAATTCGAACACGTGGATGACGGCATTACGTATCAGTAGACTTTGAAGCTCGGACGGAATACGCCTCACCACGTGCCGAATATTGCCACACACAGTGTCGGAATATAGGGATTTGGTAGGTTTGCATTCTAAAGGCTTTTAAATAAATATGGCAACATTTTGTGACGTTTCATCGTCGCTGGCGCGTAGTAGTAGTACAGTGTTTTGCAAGTCACATAAAGCAAACAGAACTCAAGTAACGCATACGGTTATTTTTTTATAGTTTTTCATTTCTCGATGCGTCCTTAATGTGTCGTGTCGGAATATACCGCGTTTACCCTAATGATTGGCAATGCTGGACTACCAGCAAATTTCTTAAATAAGAAATGATATAAGCAGCACATTTTTGTCCACAATTTCAAAAATTGCTGAAGAAACAATTGCTTTTACCTATGGCTATTAGAAAATTCAGCTCAGTATTTCAGATTTAGGCAGGATATATGAAATATGAAGAATTTTCTAACCAGTGGCCGTGGGTTATGAATCATAATGAGTAAATTGGGAAATTGAAAATGAACTGATTATAAAAAATATCTGGTTTGGCAGTTGGCACTTAGCTAGCTACAATCTTACAATTGAAACTGTCAATTAATATAACTGAGATTTTTATAGCATCAACTTACAATTTATGAACTACCAGACACCAGTCTTATAATATAATTTTATAGTAAAAAGTTGAGGGTGCACTGACTAAATTCTAAATCTAAGAACAGGAAGAATTTTTTTAGAACGTTTACAGTTTACATGGCGGTTTTTAGCTCGAAACGACTGATAGAACTTGGATCATGATGAATTCAATTTTTACTTTATTTATACACAAACTAGAGATATTACAGTTGAAACTATCAAAAAAGGGATCGTAAAATTTTTCTGATAAGTGGTAAACCGATTAGTCAATAAACCAGTGTATTTACCTCAGTTTTGAAGGAGTAAAATCAACCAAACCTAGCGCCAAAACATTTCGGAAATACCGCCCGAAATTCAAACTGAAGATGCTGATTTCAAAATTACCCCTGTTTTTTGTTTAAAATACCCCAAATTGCGACATGCAAGCAGATGGTTATTCTCTCAAACAAAATATTTTTTAAAGCATTTATTAACCGAATATCTTCACTTCTGATAGCAAATAATAATCATATTGAAACTTAGAATTTATTCAATTTTTGTCTGCCATAACAACAAAATTTCAACGATAAATTAGTCTGCGCCTGGGGCATGCTGGTGTTAACGCTCATCTGGCCAGATTCAAGTACAGTAATTGTCCAGTACGCAATGTAGAGGGCACAATCAGACACCTCATCCTGCACTGTACGCTGTTCATCAACCAACGAAGGGAATTCCGCATAAAACTGGAGGCCATGTGGTTGAACTTTAAACGCTGGTGGCCTAGTGGTTAATTAATTAATTAAAGTTCAGAGTACCAAGATTGGAGCAGAGACGCGCGGGTTTGATCCCAGCTCTGTGCGGTTGTTTATGGTCAGAATCGGCGAGGAGGCCGGGCGGTTAAGCACAGCAGAATTGTAGCAGTGAGTTGCGAGTTCCAGACCTCAAAATGCTGTGAAAGTTCTGTGATGTTAAGAATCGGCGACAGGCCTACGGCCTAATAAACGCTGAAACCGCTATTCTATGTCTCATCCGTGGGAGCTTTCCTCAGCTCTTGGAGGTGGTGATGCCCCAAGGAGAAGACGCACTGCTGCCATCCGTCTTCTTGGTCAATATTTGCTTAGCTACAATATGGTGACCAGGCTGTGAATGTTCTACATTTCCTAATTTTATTTTTTTTTTCTTTTCACAATTTACTGACACACTGGCTGCTGGAAGTGCTAAGAAGTAAAGAGATCTGTAACTGAAGTGAAGTGTCCAGAACCCCAGTTGTGCTCAGGCTGCGAGGTGTGCTACGTACCTGCAATCTGCATACCCGAAGCCTTCAAATCAAATTATAAAAAAGAATGATAAATTAAATGATAGAAACTTGTATTAAACGTTTATATCAACGACAGAACTACTAATCAACGGCACCTGACAGAAGTGCATTTTAATAAGGAGTATAAGAAATTCCAGGCAAATAAACGTAAAATTGACAAGGCTATGTACTGGCGCTTTCGCGCAAAGCACGTTTTTGCGCTGATTAAGCTGCCGAGTCCACCAGTTAGTTTGGAGAAATGTTATATGTTAAAAATGTTATCTATTTTATAAACCGGCGCACGCGAATGCGCAAATAGCACTCTTCAACCAACGTAGGTAATCATGATGCGTAGCTCGCATCTGGGGTGGCCCAGTGGTTGCAGTTCAAGTACCGAAATTGGAGCAGGAGCTGTCGGTTCGATCATAGCTACGTGCGACACGACAGTTCTAGTCAAATCGGTGAGGTGGCAAAAGAACTCACATTAAGCACAGGAGCAGTGAGTTGCGTGGTCGAAATACGCAACAAGCTGTTAATATTCTGCGATGTTAAGAATGAGGCACAGGTCAGAAAGCCCAATCAACGCTGACACCATTTCACAATACTATCAGTTAACTACGTTATGACTTCGCATAAATTCGACATCCGCTTCACATAAATTCAACCTCACTCTGCTTCACGGCTGTACGCCAAAATGCGTTGGATTTCATAATTATAGCTCAGAATTTTTCTGCTTAAAAATGTAGGCTTCAAAATTTCTGAACATTTTTGACAAAAACCTCGACTTTTTTCGATTGAAATTGATTATAAGAGGTATTACTCAACTTTCTCATTCATTATCAAATTTAGGAAACTATTTCATCAAAGTAAATTAATATCAACTTTTAACTATAATTTTATCCATAACGTAAACAACTGATGATAGGATAAAGGGTCTATGGAATCTCCAAATGAAATCTGGTAATTTTTTATTTTACTTATTTTATAAATAAATTAGATTATCATTATTATTACTTTTTTGCTTTCTGAATTCCAGATGCATTTGAAGTTTGCTTGCGCAACGATTTTACGATGTGCGAAATTTACAATGATGTCTTAATGTCTCTAATAATGTCCCAATGTCAACAAAACGTCCAGTCTTTGTGGTTGTGAGGTCTGCACGCCTTCGGACAAGGCACTATACCCTTCTTCTCTTCGTCCCTCAGCACGCCCCAGCTGACGAAGTCTTTGCCTTGTCTTCGACTTGGGAACGCAAGACTCCTGTGGTTCGCCATGAATAACTTCGCCCTGCAGAAATATGAGTCGTGGATAGCCTGTGGAGAAAAATTCATCGAATCAATTTATTTCGAATTCATAGTGAATGCCAACAACAATTTTTATACAAATGTTAAGAGTTCGTTTAATCACATCAATAAAATTGAAAAATTTCATTCATTCAATACACAGTCATCTGGTATAGTTCACCATATGAAATTTTTTTGTCAATGCACGAACATAATCAGGGAGATTGACAATTAAAGAAAAAAGCTAAGCTATCTCAATCAATCGTCAGTTATGGAAAGATCGGGTTCCAAAGGTCGGATCCCTTTTGAATCAAGTCACGAAAAGTTCAAGAATCGGCAACAGGCCATGGGACTATTTCTTCAGTGCAAAGACAACTTCACCTCGAGACATTCCTTGACTCGACTACCCTAGTCTTTTGATTGCCTCACCACAGAATCTTTTATCTCCGGCCACACGACGCGCTGCAGGAGGCGCTGGTCGTAGTCCCAGAGCTGCCGGGGCGGCCAGCGCACCATCTTGACGAACAACTCCTCCAGGAGGTCAGCACCGCGCTCCCTTGACCCGCCCCACATTCCTATTCACCCCGCAAACCATCGTAAAAATAGTGAAATATTATGATGATTATTTTTGTATAGTTCTGATATTTTTATAATGACCGTAAATTTAGTTGAATATCAGTCGATAATTTGACGTTGGCTGGAACAATTTACCTAAAAATTATTTAATGTAGTTCGGTTACGGATCAGGTCACCGTTAAAGTCTGTTGGCAATATTTCAAACTTTTCCGACTAAATTATTACCCGTGAGGCTAGTCTAAACTTATTCTAAAGAATAAACAGACCTGCTAATATGACTCCGTTGTGGCTGGGATGGTCCCGCATGACATGCACCATCGCAGTGGTGTTAAGGAGCCACTGTGTGACGGCGTCGACCTCTCGAGGGAGGATAGTCGAGTCGATGTCCCTCACTAAAAACTCCGACACACTTGGGTCAGCCATTGGTAAAAAACGCCACATTGTTGGCACCAAAAGCTTACCATAGCTAAGCTTGGGCTCTTTGCCTTGATGAATGCGTTCATCCATAATTTTCCCGATTATATTTAGAACCATTGGGGATGTACTTACTTCATGAGGTTTGGTTTGTGTACTTCCATGTACTTCAGCTGAAGCTTGACTAGATTTGGGATCTAATAAAGAGATTTCAGCATCAGCCACTGCAGAGTAAGTTGAGCTCGACTGAACAGCTTCAGTGCTCGAGCCAGCAAGCATTGCCGGCGAGACCAAGAAGCTTTTCTTGACGTAGTTATCGACCTTCTTGTCTACCGGATATATTTTTTCTGCATTACAGAGGTCGAAGTTCGAGTACTGACAATAAAGCCGACATAAAAGTTCATGTTGCTCTTTTTCTGCAGCAGTAATGTTGTGATATAGACGCATGATCCAACCTGTCATGGAATTTAAATGAAATTAATCGCAATGTGTGCATGAATATCATCATTTGAACATTACTTGGCATTAATAATGACAAAATCGATGATGAATTCCATATGCATTTTCATTGATAAGATCTGGATTTCATAATATTTCACGCAACAAAATAAAAGCCATACTCGTGCAGCAGCCATAAAGAATTAAAAAAATAAATAAATAATACAAGCTCGCATGAACTTTGTGCAGTGTTTTATACTGTAGTTTCAATTGACAAAATGTGAAGAACTTGAAAGCGTCAGAGATGCATGAATATTTCTTTGAAAAATTAATAAATATTTTTATTTCAAGCAGCTGAAATTCATTGACGAGATCACTTCTTTGCAAACAACAGTACGAATTTTGTAGCGGGCATTTTTGTTGGTGTTTTTTTTTTTGCAAATTTCTGAAATGCGTTTTATTTAGGGATCCAGACCTAATCTTTTATTAGCGATCTAGACCTAACTCCAGATTGCAGTGGCTAGTCATAACCTATTCTTGACTAGAATAATGCATGTGCACTGGACGTTACAGGTATTTTCTATATAGGTTAGTGTAGTTATGTGTGAAAACTTAAATTAATAAAAATTATTATCTAATGAAGCACATAACAATGCGCTGTTAGACAATGATTGGGTTATGTAATTCTGTGTTGGGCCCGGCATGCTAGGTTCTTTTGAAATCGAAAATTAGGGGCACTATCATGTGCATATATAACCATCTGCATAGCTGCTCGCTAAAATTTCAAACGATTTTTCAACCCATTATTGCAAATGGAAGGGCTTCTTGAAATTTCTTGTCAATTGAAAAATTATTAGAAGCTTAGCTTTCAAATAGAATCTTGATACCTGGATATCTCGTGGAGACGTCTTTGATTCTGTCTTCAATTTGACGCCAGTATTTCTTGTAGTGCAGCTCCGTACGGTACGGACCATACACGCTGAACGAGACCACCTTCTGGCCCCGACCGCGGGCAGACGCTGCGGCACCACACAGCGACGGTGTCCAACGCGAACGTGCGTAAAATCTAATGAAATGATATCATATGGTAATAATCACTACAAATATATGTTGAAATTATCTCTACCGAATATGTTGAAATTATCTCTACCGAATATGTTGAAATATATCTCTTGGCAACCTGCTTTTTGATCTACTAGCTACGAATATCGTTCGACTCGTTGAAAAAGCGAAGTCGAAAATTACTTACTAATTACTCCAAGCATAATAATAATAATAATAGCGGTTTCAGCGTTTATTAGGCCGTGGGCCTGTCGCCGATTCTTAACATCGCAGAACATTCACAGCTTGTTGCGGTCTCGAACTCGCAACGCACTGCTACAATTCTGCTGTGTTTAACCGCCCGGCCTCCTCGCCGATTCTGACCAGAAACTGGCGCACAGAGCTGGGATCGAACCCGCGCCTCTCATCACTGACCTCACTCACTCACAAGAAGCTGTAGCACATGCACCCTTATAGTTCACTGACCTCATACAGCCGCAGCTGAGCTCGTCGTACGGAGTGACAGTTTTAAGTGAGTTAGGCTTGTTGCTATAACGTAACGGAAAGCCAAGTATGACGTAGGTGAGAAGTAGGAACGTCATAGCTGTTAAGTAGAACAGCTTACGACGTCTGTCGTTTTTTGTTAACGTCCAAACGAATTTCTGACGGTTGAATGTTCGTCCGTGAAATAACATTTTGGACAGCATTTTCTTTTAGGATTTTCTGTTTTGCAATTCAGGATTGTCTCTTAACTGGTAAACTGGTGACTGCAACGTTTCCAAGCAATGTTAAATTTTTCAAATTTTCAATGTTAACTGCTTTCAAGTTAACTTTTAACTTGAACGGCTCTTCCTATTATCTTTTGCAATGACAAATTTTTGTCGATTCGAATAAATTTGGAGATTTTTATGCGGTTGCTGCGCGTAAATAAGATAAATCATATTATTAGAATTCGTCGAGATGTGTCAACTGTCTAGGACCTTTTAAGTAGTAACGTTTAATTTCCAGGGATGAAATTTCATCAGTGCTAATACGCTCACACAGTTCCGTGAATCTGCCTCCTTACCGTACACGAACCACTATTCGCGAGTCTCCACCGAGACTCTCACGAACCCATTCTAACAATGACGCTGTAATAGAGAACGAATACTAGGGCGTTGCGGCTGATGAAATTTTCTGAAAAAGACTCCAGAAACCAGAGCTCTATAGTTTTGCGAGGTACAGTTGAAAGCCGTGCTACTTTTCAATTACGGTTTATCGATTACATCTAAGAAAACCTTGCAACTGAACAACTGGCATGAAGCGAGCTTCTGAATTGATTGTGGTTACAATTACGGAGAAAAAAGTTAAATGCAAAATCTTTACAACAATTTTTTTTAGAAAAAGTTGAAGCTAAATCTTTACATTTTTACAGAATTCTTTGTCGCATGCAGAGCGCCGTTTGTCTCAAATACAACGGCGACTCGGACTAAAGTGAGGCCAAAGTAGAGCGCGTCAAATGGGAGGCTACCGCGAGCGGCGCGTGGTGCGAGCGGAACCAATTATTTAAATACCGTTCAACTCGACGCCACACGCCATGCAGCAAGAAGATTCTCTAAGAGATATTCTCACGCAGTTCTTGACGGTAGAAGTTGAGCGCATGCTTTCCTACTAAGATCAATGTCTGATTGGTAAAATCTTACAATAGAAACGTTTCACGACTACATTCTAAATGATTCTTTCGACTGGGAAGTTTTACGATGCAATCTGCCAAATGACGACTATCAGAAGAAACTTTTGTCGATATTAGATTTTTTATATATAATATGCAATTGGATATATTCATCCGATGTAGAATGAAGACGATCATACATATATCGGTCGACGATCTTTCATGCCAGTTATGGGTCTTTTAGTTCCCATTTCATATTGTTTCAATACCGATGAAAGGTAAATTTTAGTAAAGGCAAATAATTCATACAACGGTGCTTTAGTCAGCTATGCCAGTACACCGACCGATCCCTTTAACTCTCATAAAACTACTTACTTGAGCTAACGACTGCACATATAAACCATGGCCCCCTGACCATTAGGTATAACTATTGTAGTTATTAATGCGGGTTTCTCTCACTCAGTGTTCAGAGTCGAAATTATCAATATCTAAATAATTAAAATAGGCTACAATTTTTCCCAAACCGGCACGGATGTCTTAGAAATTATATCTATCAATTTTATCTCATGGATATCAGTTTCACAAACACAAGTATCAGAAGAGCAGCAACTAACGACCTGCCTACCTCATACAACTGTTTCTTGACTACTACTGGCGACTGCTGCTGCAGCCTGCAGTGCGCGTCACTCCCGCTCTTGGTAGTGCAGTCGCAACTGACAGTTCGCTTACATGATGTGTTCCCGTTTTACCTCGGTGCTCACAATGCATTATCGTAGACATACGGTACCGTTAGACGGTACACCTTTAAAGCATAAGTTTTACGACAATGAGATGTCTAACAGTAATAAGTTTGCACAAAGCTATCTAAAGAATATCATGTGATTAGCAGATTATACAACGGTTAAACTGCTCCTTGTTTTGTTGAAATATTATCAAATTATCTTGACTATTGCATTGCGAATGTAGGCATAACTCATAAGATATAAACGCATTTGTAAAATATGTCACTGACCTCCCGGATATTGTTCCTGGAAATGTGTGCAAGATGCTCATGGCAAGGTGGCCAAGTGGGTGAAGCAGATTTGCAATAATCAACGCTGACACCACAATAACTGTTGCAATTACTTCACGGACAATTAAAAGATTTGCAACTAAAGAATGCAATATTCCAGCAATTTGAAACGTATTTAAGTTAGATCTATACACACAATTGTGCTCCCGCGAGTTGTATTTTCACGATTGCTTTCCTCTCTTGCGTTTTTGGTCAATATAATATTTCTGTAGGTATCAGTGTGTAACCTGAGGGTGGCTAGGACCTGAATATAAAAAATTCAACAAATTAGGAGCGTGCATCAAAGCGGTCACACAAACTGACTTGTCTACAATGGGATTCCATCACAACATCTGCTTGCTGTAACTCCACTCGAAATGATGAAATCAGTCAGAAATTTTTAATGCTATTCCAGGGTATGTAATCTTTGTATGACAACTGTTATCGTGAAGGAAAATTTTGCATTCTGATGATCGTGAAGCGTGCGAATTTTATGCAGTTTTCGAGATACGGATTGGTTTTATGATTTATCCTGCACTGATCGTCATGCTTAAAGTGAGATGATGGTCCTACGTGAGTAACAGGATTTAATGGTTGTGGTCGAGTTGAATACGATTATTACGGATACAGGTGGTGAGATGTGCACTAAATTTATTAGTGTCAGGAGTAAACAGCGTGACAGATTACAGCCAATTTCTTGGCGACTGACCACCACGTCATGGCGCACACCAATGAGGAACCCACCACAAATAGCGGTCCCCAGGGTGGCATCAACGCCCTTTAAAAAAAATATGTAGCGTCTTTTGAACGTCATAATTTTTTTTTTTTAAATCTCCTAGCACGTTTAACACCACTTTTGTGGCTTCATGTAACCTTGTTAGCTAAAATTCAACTATTTACTTCAATGTTTAAGAATGGTTGTAGAATTTATTACTGTATGTAATAGCTCCTAATCTCTTTGCAGACAAAATTGCAAATAATTTCAACCTGCGGCATTAGACCGGTGACAATAACTTGAAGTCCGTTTTCGAAACTTTGCTGTAATAAAATATTTTTGTGTTGAATATACATAGTTTCATGCCCTTGTGTGAATTACTGTCAGTAAACGTGAAGACCATTACTAGAATGGTACGTAACCATCTTGGACTGCAAAGCAGCGGTTACAAATACTTTTGCGTTCTTATAGTCATTCAAAAATTGTGAATTCTATTTTGAGCACGCCAGAGGCCGTGCAGAGGCGCAACAATCGGCAACATTAGCCAGGCCAGTCATGCCTTATAGCTATTAGCCACATTAGTCATTAGTTATGTCGCCGTCCTGCAAACGAAACTATTTCGTTAACACAAAGCCACAACTTATTAGCGTGATCGAACGAATAGCTTCATAGTTGTTAGTTGGCAATCGAATCCTACAAATCGTCGTTCTGACATGTATTACACCGTTTTTTATTTACGATTGATGAGTAACTTGCAATTCGCTGCTAGCTGGCGGCTTATGTGGTGGCATTGGCGGTTATTCTGCCGAGAGGTGTTATTCTGCGTAAACTCAGTAAACTTAGTGCGCTTTTTCTTTTCTAGGAGCCTAAAGAGTAAATGTGTACAATGCAAATGATTTAACTACATTGCATTTACTTTTTCTAATCAATTTTAAATTGACCGATTTTGGCTAATTTTTTTTATCTAAGTTGGCCTTTTCTCTAGCCTCCATCTGGCAACTCTGACTGAAGACGATAATAGTTGGCAAGGTGACGAACAACTGAAGTCAGTATTCATACTATTGCAATGCATAAAAATAGTGGCCTCTAGCGGATGAAACTTGAAGCAAAGGAAATCCGTGTTCGGTATTCATTTTTTTATTGATGATTCACTAGAGTGAATAACTATCATTATAACCTACACTGCATTTTAAAAAATTTATCCCAGTATTACATGCAACTACTGACAAACTCAGTATAAAATATAACAGGTAAGCAATTTGAGCGACATGTTGAATGGTAAAAAATGGTACGTCTAAGCGCACGTTGCAATGAAAGTAAACTAAAAAAAATTATAGAGTATAAGTAGAGTGCAAACCCGCTGTATGGTCGCGGTTGTCCTACATCGTTGCAGCTTGGTTGATGCATGCTAGACGTGTCGCCAGCAAAGCGATATAAGTTAGTGGCATTGACGGTAGAAGATTAATACGTACAAGATGAAAATCGATTTATTACAAAAAAATCATTTTGCGGTATAAAGATGATGTTGTGATGTGTAGGACTGTAGGTGATGTAGTTATGTAGTAACTGGATGTGAGTGAAGCATCCCTGAGTGAACAAGGTTGAGCTGAGCCATGGTGCAACCTGCAGCACTCGGCCTGTGTTAGTGTTACTTCCTCATCCGAAGTTTTGACACAGTTACATGTCGAAATTTAATCGTACTCGTCTTGTGTAAAACGAAATTTTGAGCGGAGGACAAAAAAAATTAAAAAAATGGAGAGTAACGTAATTTTTATAAAAGGCCAAAAACGTCACGGCCCAAAAAAAATTTGCCAGGCCAATGCATATGAAAAAAGGCCACATTTATTAAATTTGGCCTGAAAAAGGCCCATCTGGCAATCTTGGAACAGCTGAGACTCTTGGTGCGATTTGACCGTGGACTGTGCTGCTGCGCATGCTGGCGCTGGCTGTGTAAGATTTTTTTCGTGGAATGCTGCTAGTACCTAATCGCTAGGCAACTAAATTGACTTCACCGTCACTTGTAATTTATAATTGCCAATGCACGATGAAACTTTCAGCACAGCAAGCTGAGTTGCAGCGAAGTGAGCGTAGACTGCGTAGTACTTAATTGCAGACTGCAGTAGAGTAGGTAGTCAGTAGACGAAGCCCTGCAGGACCAGGAAGATGCAAAATTATATCTTGTGTCTGACAGTCTGTGTCATGATTGATTGGGTAAACAGATCAAATTTTTACAATAGAGACTGATTGGAAGTAAGAACTGAGAAATTCCATCGAAATGTACATTTTAACTATTTTTAAGTTGATCATAACAGCTTCTTATTTTTCAAGCCATGACTAGTAGAGCTTTCCTGCTCTTTTTGAGCTGTGAAATTCATGCTACATGAATCATAATTCATGAATTATATCCTATTTAATTGTTAATGAAAGTGTACAATTGGGCTGCCACCTGCAAGAATAAAAATGTATTAAAAATTAGTCACTTAGAAGCTGTGAGATTTTATAGGCTACATGATAAGTGAGCTGATAACATAACATGACTATACTTAGTAACTTACTATAGGAAACTAGGAAAGTTCCTATCTACCTGTTCTACCAGTAGGCGGCAGAGTCTCACTACTGACTAGGCTAGTGAGTAGTGACCACTGCCAGAGCTGGACAATGGACTGACGGTGACCGTCAGTCCAGTGAAGTGATGGTCACCATCAGACAGCATATTATTCAATTATTGGTCAGTCACTGACCAATAATTATAATATGCTGTCTTTAATACTGGGCCAATATAAGCCAATTTAGAACTATTAGGCAGATGCCAGATGTGATTTTCAAAAATTGCAGGTAAAAGTAGGCCATTGGATGGATAAATTGGGAGAAATCCACAGAAATGGGTGAAATTGGGCAGATTCACAACCATTCATGTTTAATTCACAGGTGGCTTTTGCCCAATTTTCTTATTAATTAGAGTACTGGGCAGAATTTCCAAAAATTGTGGTTTAAAACTATTGTTTAATGAACGATTTTTGAAGGTTGCAGGCAAAATTATGCATCATTTCTCATATTCTATGAATTAAATTGAGCAAGGGCTATGAAACCTGGTGAAAGTTACTGCAAGTACAGGATTTTGTCTCATTAGAGGTGGGCCCTGGCCTCTGGGCTGGGCATCTGGCATCTGTTTGATTTTCCAGAATAGTGTTTTAATTATAGGGTTTATATCAAGGGCCTGTGGCAAGTCAAGTGTTTGATCTGTTAAGTGGCAACTCATGTGTCCTTCAAGGCAGCTTGCCAATCTGAAATACTAGGCAGAAATTGCCTGTTTAAACTATCATTCTACAGGTAATTGCAAAGAATGGTGCCATTTGCCATTCAACTTATTTTTCATCATAGTTAGCCAAAAGCTAGTAATGGGTGAAATTGACTGCAGCATGGGAGTTTTTATTTAATTTTTGGGTGGCGCAATTTTCCTTAATGGGCCAATATCTTGTAAAAGGCTGGCAGCAGCATGATGCCATCATCTAGTTAAAGGCTCAGAGCACTAGGATGGCATTATCTAGTAAAAGACTGGGAGCAGCAGGAAGCCATTATCTATTAAAAGGCTGGGAGAAGCTGTCAGCCATTATCTAGTAAGAGGCTGGGAGCAGCTGTCAGAGTCAGCCATTATCTAGTAAGAGGCTGGGAGCAGCTGTCAGCCATTATCTAGTAAGAGGCTGGGAGCAGCAGGAAGCCATTATCTAGTAAAAGGAAGGGATCTGTACAAGGCCATTATCTAGTAAGAGGCTGGGAGTTGCAGGAAGCCATTATCTAGTAAGAGGAAGGGAGCAGTAGGATGGCATTATCTAGTAAAAGACTGGGAGCAGCAGTAGGCTATTATCTAGTAAAAGGCTGAGAGCAGGAGGTCATTATCTAACATATACCGTAAAAGGCTTCGAGCAGAAGGTCATTATCTAGTATATAAAAGGCTTGGAGTTACAGGATGCTATTATCTAGTATAAAGAAGGGAACAGCATTAGGTCATGATCTAGCATAAGGCTGGGAGCTGTGGCAGGGCATTTTATACATAGTAAAATGTTCAGAGAAGCTGGAGGCCATCAAATATTTATTTAATCAGCATCATTCTTACTATTTCTATTATAGAACTGGAGTAAATTCACATTTCTGTTGAGAAAATATTTATTTTTTTGTTTTATTAGGTACATTTAAAATGAATACAGCATCAGTATATTTTTTAATCAGCAATAAAATTTGAATATTTCTTCCAAACTTGTTGTAGCTAATACTTGTATATCTACACTGACAGGTTTCTGTGCTTCATTTTCCCAGGAATTATCTTAATGTAATCACATATCATTCTCATATAAAATTATTTGCAATTTGAAGTATTTTATGCATCCATTGGAATAGTTAATTCTTTTTGTATACTGAGGAGAATATTTTGAGTCCATTAGACAAGCTAAGATAAAGATGCTATATTTTTTGAAGTACTTGTGAGGATTTTAGCTTTGTTCATTATTATTGGTAAGAAGAACCTGTGTCATCATGGATATGTCTGGGGACAGTTTCTTCAACCCCAGCAGTCTTCTATGGCCAAGTCCCAGAGATGATGAGGTAGCTAAACTCCGCCGATTGTTCTTTGAGCTTGTTCAGCAAATTAAAGAAATGGGACCAGATCAAGGCCTGAGCCACCTTCTACGGCGCAGAATTGAGAGCTTCTCCAAGCAAAGCAGGCAGGAATTTGTAAATTGGAAATCGTCTGGCTGCACCCCTCTGTTCCTGGCGTGCCAGCGCGGTCTTGCTGAGGTGGTTGAGTACCTCTGCTCTACATGCGGTGCAGATATCGAGCTCAAAGGCATCTACGAAGTTCCTGAAGACCGTTCTAATCATTTTGTGACGCCGTTATGGTGTGCAGCCGTCGCGGGACAGTTGGAAGTAGTCAAAATGCTCATTTCTAAAGGTGCCTATATCAATAGCGAATCTGATACCGGGTCAACTTCAGTGCGCAGCGCTTGTTACATGAGCCACATTTCAGTGGTCAAGTTCCTCGTGGAATCGGGAGCGGACGTTCAAAAATCGAATTTCAATGGAGGAACTTGCCTCATCAACTCTGTGCAGAATGTAGAGTTGTGCAAAATTCTACTCGACCATGGAGCGAACATCAACGCCAAAGATATTAAGAGCAAGACAGCTCTACATTACGCTATAGAAGAGCACAGGCTCGAAACAGTGAAGCTCCTCATCAAACGCGGTGCTGACCCGTTCATCAAGAGCTGCTTCAACGACGACGCCGTGCAAATTGCCTGCATTAAAGGAGCTCTCCCAATTTTTATGTACTTGATTACCGAGCTTGAATTGCCCATAGAACGAATAGCCGACTGCCACGAAGTCCTGGGGTCGACTTATCTCGACGAGCGAAATAACGTTCAAGAAGCCATCAATCACTGGCGTATATCAGCTCAGATCAGAGAGGAGGCTGGTATTGCAAAGAAGATTAGCCCGCCTCATATGGACTTCAATTACGTCGCAGAGTTCGTGTCGCAGGCCGATCTTGATAGCATAATTCTGGACCAAGACTCGCTAAGGATGCAAAGTCTTTTAATTTGCTTGCGGGTGTTGGGCGGCGCTCACAAAGACACGATATACCGACTCATGATACGCGGAGCTGCATATGCTGATACATTGCAATATCAACGCTGCATCCAGCTGTGGTTGCATGCTCTCAATATCAGAATTATCAATGACACAATGCTCAATACAGAAGTGAACTTGAGCTCAAACGCTCTCATGAAGCTCATGCTTGATATCATTGAAGCTTACCCTCCTGCGGAAGTCAAGAGGGTGATCGTGTTCGAAGATGTCTTCCGTGCACTCACCTTGATAGGTGATCAGTTCGAGCAATGCACGGAGTTACTCTCGATAAAGCCTGAATTCCGACGTCAGCAGTGCGATTTTGACCAGTCACTCACTCTTTTCATTTATTTGATTTTCGTTAATTTACTCATTGAGCCCAACAAAGATCAGATGCAGAAGCTTGTCCATTACATTACCAAAATAGTTCGCTTGAACCCTGTCACGACAGACAACCAGTTCAGCTTACTTCATCTGAGCGCGACGAACGGCAAACTTACGTTCATGTCTGGCAGTGCGCCCAATCAGTTCACGAGCTCGCACTTCCCTGATCCTGCGGTGACATCACTCCTGCTCGACTGTGACGCTAACGTCAACGCCAGGTCTCGAGATGGCTGCTCGCCGCTCTTCTTAGCTTCTCACGAGAGGCACTACAAGAAAGAGGTGAGAAACTTGTTGCCAGGTTTCGTTTACTTATATCATGTCATGAGTGTGTACGTTAGCTTTCTGAAGTAGTACGTACGGTCGATATACTATTTGAGTATTTTCTTTGTATCGAGAAAATTGCTTCCCTTTAAATTGAACAATGCTCCTGGACTGTGAATCATTTCTTAAATGCAGCTGTTGTATGCAGATCTTCAAGATATTGCTAGAGCGTGGCGCCCACTTGGACCAGGCCAACTTTTGGGGCGACCACGCAGGCGTTGTGCTCCGCGGTAACCGCGCATGGCTGATCGACCCTCTGGCGCTACCCGTCCCGCCCCTCAAGTGCCTCGCCGCCAGGACGATGCGGCGTCACCGCGTCCCTGTGCTGCCAGGCGACCTTCCGTCCTCGCTTGCCGCCTTCCTCGCCATCCACTAAACACGGCCTTCTCGTTTGTTTTCTCCACGAACAATAATCGTTTTCTTTTTAGCGCATTTTCTCATTTATGGAAAAAAGGAGCTATTGTGCTCGCCATGTCCGTCTACCTGTCCGTCCGTGACTTCATGTTTCGTCGACAAGAAAATGCGCTCTCTGTCACTCACTGCAGTTAGTACTGAGTTATATTTTTTTGCCTGTTTTCCCATGATTTTATATTAACATCTGGTGCTATTTTGCCATTGGCTAAGCGTATTTTGTTACTATTTTTCAAGATTTAATGTTCTATTGATAAAACTTTATGTGTAAACTTGTAAGGTTGCTCTCTCTTCATTGTGGACGTTTGATCTCGGATTGTGTTCATTCTAATTAAAAAGTTTAGATTTCTAATCTATTGCTATTGGCATAGATCATAGATTTTCTGGATTGTTTTGACTGGTTCCATTGAAGCTACGAAATGTTGCCTAGTCTACGCATACCATAGAACTGATAATAAGCTAAAACTCATCCTCGGCTAAATGTTAATTTGTTTAACTAAAAATTAGATTAATGGAATATATTTTAATGTACATCTTGTCGGTGCAATTTAAGCTTCAATTTACTATATAAATTTAGCATAAGATCATTGAAGAAATGGATATGTATTTTAACCCTCGGTTCCTGATCGTACTCTGGTTATAGTTGTTTATATTACCGTTGGTTAAAGCTAATCTCTATTTTTTGATGAATTGGTTTGTTATAAAGCGAAAGAAAATCCTCGCCTTCTACGCGATGGCGAGGACTAAGACCAAGTTTTTAATTCACATTTCGCGGGCTTACGCCCGCGAAATTTGCTCGAGTTCTCCGCATTGAACGAGCATAAGCACAAGAATTGCTCATAGTCGGGCTCATAAAAGATGAAGAAAAAGGCACAAACGAATAAAAAAACGATTTTCGGATAATCATGTGTCCTGTAGTATGGTGAATGTTGCGGTTACGGTAGATGCTTCTCTAAACAAACTGGCCTATGGAACCCCGCTCGCATATGTTAAATTTTGAGGTTAGTGTAATCGTGTTCGATGTAGAGAGATAAAATGTGTGTTGTGTCGTTATCAACACGGGATGAGTGGCAAAACTTCTGGTGCTTTGGAGTTTCGCTCCTCGCATAGTCGACTTGTACAGCAACTTACTTCCTGTGGGAATTACGCAGCTAAACAGTATGTCTTTAGTAGTTTTCCTTGCTTACCACCGTCGAAATTTCAATTCTTTTCCCAGTTTACAATACTTTTCTAACTGTACTGTTTCAACCTGTCCACGTCCATGAACTTGACGCATAAACTCAAGTTTATGTTGTTCCCTTTTTGTTGCATTGAACCCTTGGTATAGTTTGCAACCTCTACTAAGAGGATGCGACGAAGTCGATGAATTCTTAAGAATGTTAACTATATTTGTAAAATCAGTTCTGCATGACGTCAAAACAGAATTTTCAGTTACGCTCAATTTAGCTAAGAACATTCCTTATTGTTCTCGATATAACTTCCAATAAATGTTATGGTTCTTGGTTGAAATATGGGCATGTTTTTAGTATCGGCTACGAAAATTTTCAAGCCTTAGCTTAAATAAATGGAAAATGGCAAATATTTCTAGAGGTAAATTTTAGGCGAGAATCAATCTCGTATGTCGATTTCAATGGCAAATTGCTAGCCGACACAATATTTCTGTTTATTTGAAAAGAATTCGCACTAAACCGTTGATGAATTCTTGTTCTCTAAGTATGTGGGTAATGATTTAATTATCTGAATAAATAGTTGTGCTACAAACCCTCTTCACTCTCCTCGTGATCTCTCCAACACTATCAGATCGTATATCAATGTTTTGTTAACTAGGACTGCGACTGAAAGGAGTGTGTATCACGACCAGTGAGCTGCACTCTAACTGAACGGTAGAAATGGTAGCCAAGATGCCAACAAACAATGCGTGGATAATGGCTAATACTGTAAAGAAAATTCAGACAGAGTGAGCTTAGAAATATTGGTTTGGTATACTACACGGTAATTTCAGCCCTTGCAAGGAAATTTGGCCAAGACTTGCAAGTGCTGAAATTACGCTGATATGTGGCAGCGTTAGGAGTGAGACAACGTCATGCCTGGCCGTCTGTAGCGTACTAAGTTCGGTTGAGTGAAAATACAACCAAGTTAATTATAATCAACCAAGTTGACAAGGGCGATGAACATCGGTTTTGTGACTGAGCGTAAGCAAGTTCGGCTAAGCATAAACGAACAACGAAGTTTGGTAAAATTAATATGAGCAAAAAAGTTTGGTTGAGTGAAAAAGAATAATCAAGTTCGGCTGAATTGTGGAGAGTAACAAAGTCCGCACTTTCGAGTATGTCTTCTGATAAAGTATGAAATTGCAGCGATATAAATGGATTTATATTCAATTTGGAATCCATTCGAATCCATTACGTTAAGATTTGCACTTGTTTCCAAATATAAATTTAGGAGTCAGCAGTATTTCATCGGAACCCTCTCTTTGTACTATATTATTGTAGTATTAGTGCATGTTCCCAATCAGACATATCCCATCAAATAACGATTTATTAAATCAAGTTTCATTGATTCACCTACATCAGCCTCAAAATTCATAATTACGCTGATTACTTCACTCATGGCATGCTTGACAGCGATTGTCTGCCAGACACTAATTCCTGAGAGCGGCCTGAGCGCCTTTGCAGGCACATATCGTGTTGAGAGACTTCAGTAATAACTAATTATCTACCGGCCATCTTCGAATGAATTCCAAATTGCCATCGCTGTGGTGATTAAAAGCATTTGTTAATCGTTTCCAATTATATAATTGTCGACCAATCATCGGCCAGTGCCACTAAGCTGTTTGGTAAACGACCCGTGCTCGCCTGTCAAATCTGAGGTATTAGCACTCCACCTGAAGTCATTTTCAGCGTAACTGGTGCCTCCTTTTTTGTCGTTAAAATCACCAACGAACCCAAGTAAAACGAGCTGAACTTTGGTTAGAGTTGATATTTTTCAACTCAATCGAACTTTCTTAATTAGGTTTAGGTTTATTTGCTTTAATACAATTTTTGCAGACACGCGTGTAACAAATCTGCAAGTTCTGACTTGCTGATCATTGGAGAACAGTGAAACTCAGGGACACCTCGAACACTCAACATCGAATATTTGCTAGTGCATACTTTTCCATAACCGCTGTACGAGTATAAGTTCCAATCATGTTAGGATATTGTTGAGCACATCTGATAGCATTTCAGAATTGTCAAAAAACAAATGCATCAGACGAATTCCTAACCGCTTTAAGAAGGTTCAGTCACGACACACCAAATAATACTCCACTTTATTGAAAAATTAAATTAGTATCACATCGCATATAGAAACACGATCCGAGGAATGACGAATGGAATGAATTATATACAGCAGAATTAACCACTAATATAACGTATGATGATGATAATCATGAAAAATTATAAAAAAAACGGCTACTATTCAACATAAGCTTAGTCTACTTCCTCCATACGCGAGTCATCGGGTTCATCTCCCTCGAGAGGCGGCATCTCTTCGCTCGCTGGCGCCTCGCCCTCGACAGCCTCGTCCTCATCCTCGACTCCGAGTCCAAGCTTGATCATCCTGTAGATACGAGAGGCGTGCACCGTAGGATCCTCGAGGGAGAAGCCAGATGACAGCAGCGAGGTCTCGAAGAGCAGCATTACGAGATCCTTAACAGACTTGTCGTTCTTGTCGGCATCTGCTTTGACACGCAGAGCTTCGACAATGCTGTGATCAGGGTTGATTTCGAGGTGCTTCTTAGCTGCCATGTAACCCATGGTTGAGGTGTCACGCAAGGCTTGAGCCTTCATGATGCGCTCCATATTAGCCGTCCAACCGTACTGAGAGGTAACGATGCAACACGGTGACGACACAAGACGGTTAGACACGACCACCTTCTCTACTTTCTTGTCCAGGACATCCTTCATTACCTTGCACAGGTTCTCAAGCTTGCTCTTCTTCTCCTCAAATGCCTTCTTCTCATCGTCATCCTCAGGAAGCTCAAGACCTTCCTTGGTCACAGACACCAGCTGCTTGCCGTCGTACTCCTTCAGCTGCTGTACGCAGTACTCATCGATGGGATCCACCATGTAGATCACCTCGAGACCGCGTTTCTTCACGCGCTCCACGAAAGCAGAGTTCGCCACGCTGTCCTTGCTCTCGCCTGTGATGTAATAAATGTGCTTCTGCTTCTCTGGCATTCGGGACACGTAGTCCTTCAGACTGCATGCTTCTTCACCGCTGGCAGATGTGTGATAACGCAGGAATTCAGACAGCTTCTTGCGGTTGGTCGAGTCCTCGTGAATACCAAGCTTCAGATTCTTCGAGAAGTGTGTGTAGAATGTCTTATAACTCTCATTATCCTCTGTGAGCTCGTCGAGAAGTTCCAAGACTTTCTTGACAATATTCTTACGGATGACTTTCAAGATTTTGTTCTGTTGCAACATTTCACGAGAAATGTTCAGTGGTAGATCCTCAGAGTCAACAACGCCGTTGACGAAGTTCAGGTACTCGGGAATAAGATCCTCACAGTTCTCCATGATAAACACGCGTCGCACGTAAAGCTTAATCTTATTCTTCTGTTTCTTATTCTCGAAGAGATCAAAAGGCGCTCGCTTGGGCACGAAGAGAAGGGCACGGAACTCGAGCTGACCCTCGACACTGAAGTGCTTCACGGCCAAATGATCTTCCCAGTCGTTGGTAAGGCTCTTGTAAAACTCGCCATATTCTTCCTTGGAAATATCATCGGCGTTGCGCGTCCACAGAGGCTTGGTCTTGTTCAGTTCCTCCTCGTCAGTGTACTTTTCCTTAATCTTTTTCTTCTTCTTCTCGTTCTTCTTTTCGGCGTCTTCATCTTCACCCACATCCTCTACTTCAGGCTTCTCCTCATCCTTCTCTTCGTCTTCCTTTTTCTCATCTTTCTTCTCATCTTCCTCCTCATCATCAGACACTTCCTTGTCACGCTCCTTCTCCACCAACAGTCGGATGGGGTACCCAATAAACTGCGAGTGCTTCTTAACAATTTCCTTGAGGCGACGCTCCTCGAGGTATTCAGTTTGATCCTCCTTCAGGTGCAGGATAATCTTGGTACCGCGACCAATAGGCTCGCCGTTGTCTGTCTTCACTGTGAACGAGCCTCCTGCTGACGACTCCCAGATGTATTGTTCGTCGTCGTTATGCTTCGAGACGACGGTGACCTTGTCAGCGATGAGATATGCGGAGTAGAAGCCCACACCAAACTGACCGATCATGGAGATGTCGGCGCCAGCGTTGAGGGCCTCCATGAAGGCCTTGGTGCCGGACTTAGCAATGGTACCCAGGTTGTTGATGAGGTCGGCCTTCGTCATGCCGATGCCACTGTGGATAAAGAGGATATTAGTACAAACACCTGAGTGACATGACACTGTTTCAAAACCGCCAGCGACTATAATACAATTATTAGCACAATGATCAAGATCGCCATTCATTAAATCGAATACTCGATAGAATCGGAGCGATGGAAAACAGACTTACGTTCATAACCAAGATCTTAATTAATTCAATCCACACTTGATAAATAATTGATAAGAGTAGTAAATTACCTGTCGTAAATTGTGAGCGTGCGATCGTTCTTGTTTGGCTCGAGTTTGATGAAAAGATCTTTTCCCGATTCAAGCTTGCTGGGATCCGTGAGAGACTCGTATCTGATCTTGTCCAAGGCATCAGAGGAATTAGAAATCAATTCACGGAGGAAAATTTCTTTGTTGCTGTAGAACGTATTGATGATGAGCGACATAAGCTGGGCGATCTCCGCCTGGAAGGCGAACGTCTCGACGCCCTCCGTCTCCATTTGGGTTTCTTCAGGCATCTGAAATGTAAAAAAAAAATGGAAATATGTTTAACGTGTAACAATGCAGATAACAACAGTAGCTATTCATTACCTCATTCAAACCAATTCTAAAAGCAATTCTACAGCGGGGCGTAAGAATAGTTAGAAATAATTAGAATACCTTTATGAACTGCACAAGCACATGACCAATATAGTATTGGCAAAATATGTGCATATTTAAAAATACATTTAAGATATAACGATACAGAAAACTACACCTACTACATGTAAGTGGTGATTTTTCAACAAACTGGTTTCTAGATTGCAATGAGATATTTGCGTCAGCACTCAGCAGTCAGAAAAAATAAGGACTGCTATTACCCACCCTCTCGTAGGCAATGGGCCTATTTCTTCAGTGCCGAAACTTCTATTCTATTCAATAGTCAACATTTATACATTGGCATTGCTCATTGCTGCAACCTGCAAACAAATATTTACCGCATTATATTGCAAATGCAAAACAATACGACGTTTAAAAAATAATTTGGTATTTTTTCTCAAGATCGCAAGCCATCATTCTCATTGGCCTACTATCAAAGTATTAGTATTTAGTACTGTAATTCTCATTAGCGTACTTTCTGATTGGAATTTATAATTTTGCCAATCAAGTTTCCTTGACGTGAGTTAAGTAATAAGTATTAACTGCGTTATCAACATAAGGCATAAGACATAAGTGATAATCGCATTATTGATTATAGATGATCAATTGAAACTTGAAAGAATTGATTATAATACTCAATAGCGTACATTCAATTTCAAATAATGATTCAATATTATATACTAATACTAGTAATAGAACATAAAAAGGCATGTAGAATTTTAAATTGCGCAAACATCTAATAAGATGAATAAATACCTTTGCGAAACTCAGTTGGCTGTCTGAATAAAATTACAGGAACGCTAGATCACAGGAGCAGAGCAATGCAGCGCACACCGTTCTTCGAGGTTACTCAGACGTGTCTGGTGGTGGTGGTGGTCGGTCAGCTTATATACTGGCAGACGAATGCCTTCCAGATCATTCGAGAAACTTCTATGGGCGTGGAATTTCCACGAATGCTTCTTATGAATATTAGGGATACATATAGACTGTATATCTTGTTATTGTCCGTTTGTGCTCATTGAAGCACTAGCTATGATTCTTCCAACTTCAAAATTACGGGACGAAAATTTAGATGGTTAAATTATTTAGTTAGTTTAGTGGATATTCCAGATTTATATGCTGGATTACCATGAAGCTGGGACTTGAGTCGGTGCTACTGCTAGTACAATAAGTGCATCATGCCCATGGCGTGGACCCTGTCATGAGGAAAAGGCAAAGTTGCAGTAGATCGCATTAGGTTTAATTATATTACTATTTGAATTTATGATATGCTCCTGAATAATTTCTTAGTAAATAATTAGATAAATGCTCAATTTCAGAATAATCACTTTCTACAGGTATTTCACTTCAAGATGCAATTTGATTTCAATATACCCATTCGGTTCAAATGTGGACTTCATTATTTTATTATTGTTAAATTTATTACCTTTTTTTAATTTAACGAGGCATTCAATCAAACTTTTTGTTGAATTATCAATGTTTTCCTAACACTGCATTCATATCTGCCCCATGGGACATTATTGTATTTAAAAATTTGCCCTTCTATCCAAAATAGAATTTAAAATGTTCAAACAGTGTTCTATTTTTAAGACTATTCAAACCTTGATTTTTAAGAAAATTCTCGACCAAGAAACTTCGTGAACGCGGATAAGCTCTCCGTGTCGTGGCGTGTCGTGGCGGGAAGCGTATCGAGCTGCAAGACGGCCATGCGGTGGTGGCATGTATAGTGAATTATAATGGACGTTTCTTATGCAGGGCTGCGTCCTCAATCACTTTAATATTTTTATCAACTCATTAACATAATATAGCTGATAGAAATTTATCGACCGTTTCACTAGACATCCAAGTACTACACTGTGAAAGCTCATCAGTTCGAATATTCATAGACAGAGGTACAAATATTCATGAATATTCGACTCCTGTTCCGCGGTAAATTTTTTTATGTTGAAAACAACATTCGAGATTAATCAAAATATGTAAAATAAAACAGAAACGACCCTCTCTTTGCTTTGTAATGCTATGTTCAAGTAGGTATAATGGAATAAATTCGTATTTGAAAGCTCTCATTTGCATATAAACATCATTATTGATTTTTTAAGCACAATTGGCGATGAAAAATTCTTTTTTTGTATTTTGTTAGCTTTTAAGCACTTGCAACACCATTGAACGCCGACAGAACTGAAAGTCTGTTTCATGCATTTTATTCTAAAAAAGATTATTCTTTTTTCCAGTTGAAACATTATTGACTTGTTAATTGTCACCCACTGATTCATTATTTCTTATTAGATAAAATATTGCAAACAATGAGGCGTGCACACACACGCGGATGTTCTAAGCGGCAGTACATTGGTACGGTACTTACTCATTTTACATTTCAGGCATTGAAGAAATCGGCGCTCCCAGATCTGCCCTGCAATTCTTCTGACTTCTTACTTTAAATTACTGAATATCACCACAGTGCGTTATCACATTAACGTCTATCGAAATTAGTGTAATGATTGAACGAAACATACAAATTTGATTAATTCATAATAAATGAGTGAGTGCATGCATAAGAATTCGATGAAATAGTTGTTGTTGTTGTGATCGTGGAATGAAAAGTAGGCATCGATTAAGAATGTTAGAAAATGTTGATAGAGTTTGTGATATTTGGAAGTGCAGGAACAGAGACGAGTCAGCAAGCGTCAGTTTACACGCTGTGCGGCCGGCCATTTTGATTGCACGAGGTATTGTATAGTTTTACACCACCACGTCACACTTACAAGCAATACAAGCCTTTAATTACATTAATTTTGCTGAAAATAAGCTTAAAAATCGAGCAAGTTGGAAAATTTCGTTTGTATCATTTATTTTGGTTTCTTCGAGTTCGAGGAATGAACACAAGAAGGATCTTCAATGGATGCTCGAATAATTATGGATAATTTAGCAGTTTTTCTATGCGGATCACCACTCATTCGACCGGGTAAACTTTCAGTCGCGCAGACTCACGGACTTTATAAAAAAATTTGTCATGCTACAATAAATTCTCCACCTCCGTTGCAGAATAGACTTCCAACAAACATGCAACAAACCGGTGAATCAATCCAATGTATTCTATTTCTATTTAACGCTGGAATCAGACACTACTTGATCCGATACATGAGTGAATATTGCATTCTAAATTCTAATACGCGAGTATATGAGAGATTTTTGTTTTAACACCAGCACAAACATTGTGTTGGGAGGCCAGTGAGAGAGAATAATCGATACCAGCCAAGCAGAAGATACCAGAACGTTCTAGAAGGTCTGCCGCCGAATGTATAAAAGCTCTCCGGATCGCGAGCCGGGTTATTGAAGCCGCAACAGGCAGTCGCAGTGTACGAGTGTAACGCCAGCTGCGCAGCGAAGAGCAAGTCCGAACTTGAACTTGAATTGCGTTTGTTTTTACTTGATCAAAAAAGGTAAGACACTAATATTTGTAGCGACATGATTTAACTAAATGTTTGGTGGAAGGTTCCATGGTCGGTTTGCACACGTTTTTCATCATCGATATACTTTTATAATCTAAATAAAATTCGGTCATTATGCAGGTTCGATCATGATTAGTATGTTTTCTAACCCTCGCGCATTTTAATGTGACTTTTAGCTTATTTCTAATTGTATTTAAATGGGCGAAAATTATTTTAGTTATAATAATGAAATGACATGATTAATTTTCATGTTATTTTTTTCGCTAGTTTCCTATGGCGATTTCACGAGTTGGGGGTTGTCGGATTTTTCAATGATTTTGCTGCTAACACTCATAAGGGGAATATTTGTCCGAACACATCGATAAGTCAATTTCTATGCTACTAAATTTTCATTAGGTAATTTATCTAGAAACATTATTGAAGTGGATTCTAGTCTAGTATCTACAGTTGAGTGCTGAGAAATCAAAATTTCTTGTAATTAATGAATTTCTCTAATTGATAAAACATATACGTATTCACTATTTAAGTAGTTGACCAGTTGCCTGATGAGCAAAGTGGGTCGTTTTCTTATGAAATTTATAGCTGCCTCAAAGGCTCAAAGTTTGTCTACTTATGTGTTCCTATGTAGTAAACGTGCATGGTAATTAATTTAAATATCTGTCAGGCTGCTCAGGCATTCGCAATTTTTCAAGGTAGCTAATCCTACAACACGCTTAAGTCTTGGTTTTTAGAAACTGAATTAATTGATGTACCAAATGTTACTGTAGTTCTCCCACTCGTGTCACGTTTACCATAATGTCTCCTTTCCACTTTACAGATGCCTGAAGAAACCCAAATGGAGACTGAGGGCGTCGAGACGTTCGCCTTCCAGGCGGAGATCGCCCAGCTTATGTCGCTCATCATCAATACGTTCTACAGCAACAAAGAAATTTTCCTCCGTGAATTGATTTCTAATTCCTCTGATGCCTTGGACAAGATCAGATACGAGTCTCTAACGGATCCCAGCAAGCTTGAATCGGGAAAAGATCTTTTCATCAAACTCGAGCCAAACAAGAACGATCGCACGCTCACAATTTACGACAGGTAATTTACTACTCTTATCAATTATTTATCTAAGTGTGGATTGAATTAATAAAGACATTGGTTATGAACGTAGGTCTGTTTTCCATCGCTCCGATTCTATCGAGTATTCGATTTAATGTATGGTGATCTTGATCATTGTGCTAATAGATGTATTATAGTCGCTGGCTTTGAACCAGCGTCATTTCATTCAAGTATTTGCACTAATATCCGCTTTATCCACAGTGGCATCGGCATGACGAAGGCCGACCTCATCAACAACCTGGGCACCATCGCCAAGTCCGGCACCAAGGCCTTCATGGAGGCCCTCAACGCTGGCGCCGACATCTCCATGATCGGTCAGTTTGGTGTGGGCTTCTACTCCGCATATCTCATCGCTGACAAGGTCACCGTCGTCTCGAAGCATAACGACGACGAACAATACATCTGGGAGTCGTCAGCTGGAGGCTCGTTCACAGTGAAGACAGACAACGGCGAGCCTATTGGTCGCGGTACCAAGATTATCCTGCACCTGAAGGAGGATCAAACTGAATACCTCGAGGAGCGTCGCCTCAAGGAAATTGTTAAGAAGCACTCGCAGTTTATTGGGTACCCCATCCGACTGTTGGTGGAGAAGGAGCGTGACAAGGAAGTGTCTGATGATGAGGAAGAAGATGAGAAGAAAGATGAGAAAAAGGAAGACGAAGAGAAGGATGAGGAGAAGCCTGAAGTAGAGGATGTGGGTGAAGATGAAGACGCCGAAAAGAAGAACGAGAAGAAGAAGAAAAAGATTAAGGAAAAGTACACCGACGAGGAGGAACTGAACAAGACCAAGCCTCTGTGGACGCGCAACGCCGATGATATTTCCAAGGAAGAATATGGCGAGTTTTACAAGAGCCTTACCAACGACTGGGAAGATCATCTGGCCGTGAAGCACTTCAGTGTCGAGGGTCAGCTCGAGTTCCGTGCCCTTCTTTTCGTGCCCAAGCGAGCGCCTTTTGATCTCTTCGAGAATAAGAAACAGAAGAATAAGATTAAGCTTTACGTGCGACGCGTGTTTATCATGGAGAACTGCGAAGATCTTATTCCAGAGTACCTGAACTTCGTCAACGGCGTTGTTGACTCCGAGGATCTACCACTGAACATTTCTCGTGAAATGTTGCAACAGAACAAAATCTTGAAAGTCATCCGTAAGAATATTGTCAAGAAAGTCTTGGAACTTCTCGACGAGCTCACAGAGGATAATGAGAGCTATAAGACATTCTACACACACTTCTCGAAGAATCTGAAGCTTGGTATTCACGAGGACTCGACCAACCGCAAGAAGCTGTCTGAATTCCTGCGTTATCACACATCTGCCAGCGGTGA